TTCTTTTTCATTATAATTTTGGCTATCTCTGGTCCAGTCTATTTGTTTCTCTTTTTAAAAATCTTATCTCACTACCATATGATTTCACTCATATATGGAAATATAAAAAACAAAACAAAATAAGTAAACAAATCAAACAAAAGCAAACATGTAGATACAGACAACAGGGAGGAAGGGGTAAGAGAGATCAGCTGTATGACAATCGATGGAAACTAAATTTTTGGTGGTGAGCATGCAGTAGGGTAGATCAAAACAGAAACAGAATGTTGTGCACATAAAACATATAATGTTATAAACTAAGGTTACCTCAATCAGAAATCTTAAAAAAATTTTAAGGTTAACAACCTTCCCCCAATCTTGTCTACATCCTGCTGGCCCAAGTATTTATTCTTTTCATCTGTTCAGATCAGAATGACTTAAACAATGAAAAAACATGGTAGCAATAATGTGTATTCTTTATTTACACAGCAACCTTCTTTTACAGATTCTAAACTTTAGGGAGTGAGAACACTGTCTTCTAAATGTTTGTGGGCTGGATCTAGGTTACTCAGTAAAAGGCATTTAATACACATGGAAACATTTGGCAGAACTCTCAAGGTTATAGTTTTATCAGGGCCACTTGTTACTTCTCCCTGTTACATAATCCTATCACATTTTGGCCCTTCTCTCCATGGAAGTTCCAGACAAGTGAGCTACCAGAGATGAGAAAAATTCGACTTTTCATCTGAATTCATTGTTTGAACACTTACATCTCCCACTCTAACCCAGGGAAAATGGTATTTTTATTTCAGCAAAGGTTAACTTCATCACATTTGATCTCGGAACATTCATGATGAAAACCGGGTTAAGAAATCCCATGTCACAGCACCTCCTGCTCATGTCTGGAAACCTTGGGGCCAGGTCTGGCCACAGCCCAGGCCTCTCTCCTCTGCTCCGAGTCACTGATCTCATTTCTCATGACTCCTTGACAGACTCCAGCCAAGAGAACTTCCCACACGCATCTCCACACACAGACCAGTCAATCAAAACACTGATGTGGCACCTACTGTGTGCAAAAAGAGCCCTATGTTTTACTCTCCACTGGTCAATCGCTGGATTAAAAGCCTGGCTCAGAATTTCCTTCCAGAAAATGTCCTTTGCTTAATGATTCCCCTTTCCAGTGTCTCTATAAATATGTGTCCTCCGGTGAGCCCAACTCCAGTCCTGCTAAGATAATTAGCATTTAACTAGGACCTACAGGGAGGATGACACAACCCTGTACACACACACAGATACACACACACACACAACTCACAATTATAGTTAACAAAAATTTCATGAAAACAATACTAACTCTGACTAGACAGGATATGCTCAAGTATTTTTAAATTCTAATTCTGTTTCATTTTTTTAAAAATTCTCATTTTTATGCACAAAATTGATTTCGAGACCAGCAGCCTGAAAATCCCTGGGTATTTAGCACAGAAGGTAATTAGAGATTCTAGAGAATGAACCTATAATTCAAGCAGGAAGTTCACAAATATTGTCAGAGAAAGTGAAGCTTGCTCCAAATAAAATACTTGCTAACAGATGCCAAGATTGACTAAATCCTCTGAATTTCTAAGAATTCATTCATTCCTGAAGGCAAACTTTTATTTTTGAGCATCCAGTCCAGTCTAGACTTGAGCATACAAAAATGGATAGATAGGGTTCTTGTCATCCAGAACCTCATGGTTTAACAGAGGATGCAGAAGACCCAGGACTCTTGGTCAGTGCCCTAAGTTCTATGATGCACCCTGGGGTGCTCCCTAATTCAGGAAGCGGTGGGTGCACTTCCTAGACCTGGCGACTCTCTAGCGGAGGCTAAAAGAGGAGTGACGCTATCTCCATAGACTGAGAGAGTCATAGATGTTTGTGTTTCTAGAGTAGGGGCCCTCTTGGGTCTGCAGGCATTGTGAGAGAGTGGTCCCTATGACTCCAGTGAAGGGCACTGATAGGGAGATGGTCAGAGATGAGCCTTCAGAAGGAAGTGAACAAAGATGCTTGAATTTTCTCCTGAAACCTAAAGGTAACCCACTGACAGGATAAAGAGGTTTCCGGTTTTGAAAGATCCCTAGAGGAGCAGTGTGGATGATGCTGGCCAAGAAGCAGACTGGGGCAGCAGGTCTAGTTAGGGGGTGAGTGCAGAAACCCAGAGGAGAGAGCGTAAAAAGGACCTTACTGGGGTGATAGTGGTGGGAATGGAGAAGCAGGGAGCCCTATGTGAGGCATCAAGGACACAGCGGCCAGTGGCTTAAAGTAGGTCCCGTCTCGGATGGGCATCTGTGCTAACCACTTGGCAGGAGGATGTAGGTGGGGAGACAAAGTTTCCGGAAAGGAGTTCAGTGCTGCATATGCAGTTTGGAGTGCCCAGACTGGTTTTAATAGCCAGTTGCATATGGAGATTAGGGAGCAGTCTAGCCTGGTATTAGATGAAGCCATAGGCAAAGATCTCAAACCAGCAGAAGATTGGAAATAAGGCTCAGAGAAGGCCCCAGATTCAGGGTTATTACTGATTTGCTAGAGATCAGCTGGGTCTGGTGAGCCTGGGATCCGCACAAGCTGCCTTGTCTTTGCTCCTCCAGCTTTTCCTAGCTTAAATGCTGCCAGAGCTCTCCCAGAGAGCTGGAGAAGTGGAGAGTCTTTATTGTCTTTATCCAACACAGTCCCTCCTTCAGGAGACTTCCGTAGATGGCACAGGTGCCAGGCAGAGGGCATAGCTTCAACAAAGGCGGAATGAAGAAGGTAAGGGTGATTCTCTACTCAGTCATTAACAAACTTAAAGGGCTGGTTTTGAAATTTCTGGCGGGCAGGGGGTTCCAAACTGCTCATAGATTCTGCTCTATCCTTTTGACACTCTGGAGTGTTGTACTGATTGCATTTCTGAGGACCTGAGCTAGGAGAGCCATTTCATTATTGGGCCTTAAGTCCTTCCAGCTTTGAATTACTGCACCTGAGTCCACATATAGACCAGCTCCAGGGGAGGGCAGAGGGATGAGGAGGAGGGGAGGCTGAAGCTCAAGCTTTCTTCTAGGGTGTTAGGGGCAGTGAAGCTCAGTGTTGTTATGGACTGAGTTGTGGTCCCCTGCCCCTTGTCAAATTCATCTGTTGAAGTGCTAACTCCCAGCATTTCAGCATGTGACTGTGTTTGCAGGCAGGGTCTATAAAGAGGTAACTTACTTAAAATGAGGTCTCATGGGTGGGCTGTCATCTACTCTGACTGGGTCTTTAAAAGAAGAGATTAGGACACAGACAGATACAAATAGAAAAAAGACCATGCCAAGGACAGAGAGGACCCCCACCCTCAAGCCGAGTTGAGAGCCCTCAGGAGAAACCAGTCTTCCTGACACCCGATTTTGGATTTCCAGCCTCCAGATCTGTGAAAAGATTAGTTTCTGTGGTCCAGGCCACATGGCCTGTGGTAGTTACTAGGCAGCCCTAGAAAACTATCAATAACACACTCACCTTTCATTCTTCTGATGGGGGCTGCTGTGCATATAACTTGGTGTTCCTCCTACTCAAGAGGAAAAGAGTCTAACACTCAGAGGAAAAGCAGCAGGGGCTGGATGGAAATCACATGCCAACGCAAGCTAGTGAAACAGACGAATAGCAAGTGCGGATTTCACAAATCTAAATTTACCTACTGCTTTGCAGATTACCAAGTACTCCACGAACCTTATTAACTCCTTTAATCTTTGCAACTGCCTCAGCATCACCTGGGAACTTGTTAGAAACGCCAAATTCTCAGCCCTGGCAGATGTAAAGCATCGGAAAGTGGGGCGGGGCTTCGAGACAAGTGTTTCAACAAATCTCAGGTGGAGGTGGGCGGGGGATTCTGATCAGCGAAAGTAAAGTATGAGAACCACTTGGGTGGGGGAAAGAAAGGCAAGGTCTTCCGTCCAGACCCGTAGGTCGGAGGGTGAAGTGACTTTCACAGTTGTGATTGGAGGGGCCAGGACGGTCTCCTTGACAACGGGCCTGGAGCGCCTGTGACTACAAAGTTCGCACACCTTGCTGGGTTTTATCCCTGGATCGACTGGACACTCGGAGCTCCAGTTCCAGGTCTCTAAGGTCAGTGGCGCCCCTCCGGCCTCAGAGCGGCTGCAGGTCTGGAGCCCCGGGAGCGCCGCGATCCCTGGGGCCCGGAGCCGCCGGACGCGTGCGCGCCCGCGCGCGTTCCCCGGCAGGCGCGGGTGCGCGCCGAGGGGGTGGGTCGCCCGGGCCCCGCTGGCCTGGCGCGCGGTCCGAGCCACTCAGAGCGCCCGGCGGCCGACACCCGGGGGCCCTACAATTAATACCCGGCGCCCGCCCGCCGCTTCGAGACTCGCGCGCCCGCTCTCGGGGAAGGAGGCGCTCGCTGGGCCCTGACCCGCCTCGCAACTCGTCTGCTCTGGCAGCTGCGGCGACCGAGCGCCGGACAGACCCTCCCGAGCCCCTCGCCGAAAGCCAGCTCGCGCAAGGACCAGTGAGCCACCCCCTCGCCACCCTCGTCGCCGTGGGGGAACTCTGCGCCGGCGGCTGGCAGGCAGGTGGGCGAGCGCGCCGGCTAGGTGAGTGCGGGAAGTCGGGGCGAGCTGGTGAACCCGCTGGGCTGGGGACGCGGACCCTCGAGCGTGGGTGTCCTCTCGGCTCCTCCTGGCCCCTCTCCAAAGTTGTACCCTGGATCTGCGGCAGGGCGGAGGCGGGGATAGCGGGAGACGGGTAAGCTCACCTGCTGGAAGTGTGTTTACTCGGGCGAAAGAACGAGTCATTGGCCAGCCACTCCCCCCTGGCTGGGGAGCAACACGCCGGCCGACCTGGGCTCCCCTGGGACTGCGACTGTCCCTGAAGCTGCCCCAAGTGTCTTCCCAGTCCGAGGACTCGGGGGTGTGATAAGGCCACCACCCTCGCCTCCGGCCCTTTAATTCGGGCAGAAGAAGTCTACTGAGAATCAGAACCCAAACTTTGTTTGACACAGTGAAACTGACTTTCCAGGGCTTTTTTTAACTGGTCTTGCACACGCGGTTAATGGTGGGTTCCTGAGGACGCCTCCGGGGAGCAGGGCTGGACCGGCCGGCCCGCGAGTGGCGCGCGCAGTGGCCCCGGGCACAGGGACAGCCCTGGTCCTCTTGGGCCGGGGTCGGGCCCAGCTCGTGCATAACGGCCCAGGACAGTCCCGGCGCGCTGACCCCTACTCTCTTGGGTGGCCGCGGTGGGAGGCGCGGGAGTCCCTGCGCTCGGCCGGGCTCCATGTTCCCGACCCGCTCCAGCCGGGGGAAGCTCCGGCCGGTGGCCCGGCAGAGGGCGCCCGCTCCCGATCGCCGTGCCGGCCAGAGGAGGGAGGGCACTCGAGTGAGGCTCCAGGTGAGGAGCTGTGAATCATCCCGGGAGGGGGACCCGGTTCTCGTTCTGGGAAAGCAGGCAGGGAGTGGCCGCGGCGCTGTCGAGAGTCCAGGCTGCCCAGCGGCAGTCGGGCGGGGAGCGGCAGCTGTGCCCCGGGAGGTCTGGGGGAAGCTCGGAAAGAAGGTGAGGAGCGTCCCTCCTCGCGGTGGCCGAGGGCAGGGATCGGCCGCGCAGAGCTCGGGCGGGCAGACACTAGGACGCGCCGCGGTGCGCTCTCCCCCGGGGGCCGGAGGTGAGGTTAGTTAGACTTGGGCTTGGGGCGGTCCTGCTGGGGGCACCGGGGGCGGCCGATCCCCGGGCCGCCGCGATGGGGCGCTCCCGGGGGCGGGGGCCTGCGGGGTCCCGGAGCAACAACAAAGGCGCGGCGCGGTCGCCGCTCCCACCCACTTCCGTCCCGGCGCGCCCGGGCGCGCGCCGCCCCGCGGCACCGGCCGGCTCAGGCTTCCCCTCCGCGGAGTTTCGGGAAGTTAGCGGGGCGGCCCGTTAGGCTGGGAGGAGGGGCGGGGAAGGGGCGGCCCGGGGAGGGACACGCGTGTGCCCAGAACTGCGACACTGCCGGCCTCCCTGTCTCACCGCCTGGGCGGAGGGTGAGGGCAGCAGCGGCCCCCGGGCGCCTTCCTCGGGGTCCCTGGGTCGCGCCCCAGCGGTGGGAAGTGCCGGCGCCGCGCGCCCTGCCAGCCCCCCGGGCCACGCCCCTCCGCGCGGGCTCCCGGAAGGGAGGGGCTTAGTCCCTGGGTGACATCGGCGGTCCCCCGGTACCCCGAGGGGAGCTCCAGAAGGCGGTAATTGCATTACTGTGAGGGAGCGACCCGGCAGCTCAAGTTCAGGCCGCAATCTGGGTCAGGTGCGGGCTTAAACGCTTCTGGCGTCGGCATTACAGCTGGGGTGCAGTCCTGATGGTTTGTTGTAATTGCAGTTCCGCCGAGGGGAGAGGACGGCGGAGAGAAAGAGGAGAGCTCCTCTTCTCCCCCGAGGTTGTGGTCACAGCGTGCAAACCCCAGGCTTAGGCACAAGCCTGTCCTTGGGATGGCAGGGGCAGCATCTCCCTTGTGCGACAGACGCTTCCCGGGAGCAGGACGCCAGAGGAGGTGCTGCCCAGGAGAAACCCGGGGCGCTCTGCTCTGGTGTGAAACCATATCCGGCCGTAATCGATGGATAGATTTCACGTTTTCTTATCTGCCGCCACTCCCTTCTGAAGTAGGGAAAGGCCTTCTGAACGAGACTCTTATATCCACTTAGGAAGGATCGTCACCATTCACTCTTAAGCCTCCCGCAGAAAGATGACTTCTATCATAAAGATGGGGAAACGGGCTCAAAGAGGTTTCCAGCGCCGAGTCTGTCCAGCTCCAAAGAGTATCGCTCGTTTGCTAGTCCCAGTTCCTACGCCACAATGCGAGAGGCATTGTGGATTGTTGATTGCAGTCAGTGGTACAAGCTCTAAGCCTGGGTTCAGTTTGATGGTGTTAGTTATTAGGATTAGATTGACTTCACCTGTGGCTGACTTTTGCAGTCGCTCGGGGCCTCAGCTAAACCAAGTTTGCTTATTTAGGCCACCGCGAGCAACCTGGAATATCTCAGTTCCCCAACCAGGTATTGAACCCAGGCCCATGGGTTCTGGCAGTGAAAGTCAGAACCCTAACCATTAGGCTACCAGAGAACTCCCCCAACTCTTGGTTTAAAGCTTAAGGTATACAAGACAACTAAACTGCTTAGAGTCATCTGAAGCACTGAAGAGAGGCAGAAACAGCTTCGGTTTGCCTCCGCAGGCATCTCGTTAGGCAGGTGGGCCTGGGTTCAGGAGGTCTATCTAGGAAGCTCACAGCTCTGTTGGCCTTCCTGCAGGAAGACGGCTGCATTTCCTACCCCATCTAAGCTCTGACATTGCTGCCACGTGTGTTTAAAATGAAGTTTGCCTTGGAAATGCATCAACCTTCATTAATTAAAGTCATAATTAGTAGATTATGACAAAATTTCTCTTAGGCATCTGGGATCACATCTTTAAGCCTTATTGAACTCCAGTTTATGATATGAGAAGGTGGTATTGTCTTGAGTGTACTGAAAGTGTGTTGTCTCAGAGAAAAATGTTGTTTGAAACCCTGGAATGATAGTCCTGACTCAGAATGTCCTAGGGCACTGCCAGTTGTGCAGACAGCGAGGTGTGATGATTAAGGGCCGGCTTCCTCTGCTGCCTCCACCGTCTATAGGTGTGTGATGCTGGGGCTTCCCTGGTGGTACAAGGGTAAAGAATCCACCTGCCAAGCAGGAGGCATGGGTTTGATCCCTGGGTGTGGAAGATCTCCTGGAGAAGGAAATAGCAACCCACTCCAGGATTGTTGACTGGGAAATCCCATGAGCAGAGGAGCCTCGAGGGCCACAGTCCAAAGAGTCGGGCACTACTTAGCAGCTAAACACCACCACAATCATAGCATTGCCTGGTTTCAAGCTGCAAGGGTTAAATGTGACCCTTCATATAAGGCACTTAGTAGCAGGAATCCTAACACTGTAGCCGCTCAACAAGTGTTAACTAATAATGAGGAGACTTGAGAACAGAATCTTCTCTTCCCTTGTGTGGAGAGGTACAATAGTTGAGAGTTAACTTGATCGTCTTCATTCATGTAGCAAGGTAATGCACTTAGCTATTCTTTCTTGTCAGCAAGTGTTATGTGTGTGTCTGTGTTGGGGGTGGGAGTGGTAATGATGGAAAACTTTGTCTAGTCGCCCAAGGAATTTACAAGGAGCTCTGGAACCGCCGGTTTTCCTCCTCCTGTCACCGATGTGTAATTTTGTGGCCAACCTTCAAGCTATTCCTCTTTCTTTTTAAATTCAAAGCCAGTATCCTGTGGCCAAGAGGACAGGACTTTAAAAAAAAAAAAAAAAAGCCCTCAAAACCACCAAACAAACTGGAGAAAAGGAAGCAGGTCTTCTCTTTGTGCCTTCACTGGCCACTGACAACGCTAAAGAAAATTTCTGTCTGTGAAAATTGTGCTGGCCTGATCCTGGCAAGTGGGAAAATAGAAATCTTTCTGGAATATACTTGGAAAATAGAATATTTTCTGGAGTCTGTTTAAAGATGAGCCACAAAATTGATCAGGGAGGGAGGAGAGTTTGAGATAACATTTTATAACTGTTTGCTCAAATATGGTCAACTGTGTATGATGCCCAGATTGCCAAACTAACATTTGGAAGGTGGCAGAGAGGGATCTGGTTACGTCCAGTTAAGCTACACGAGTGAACATCCAGGATAACTATTTCATATGTTAAAAAAAAAAAAACTTGGAAGATTTTTGATTTAGCCAATGCAAGTGGAGAAATAGCTATTTTTAAGTGTACTATGTCAAGTTGTTGATGAAGACCTCCTGAACATTGCTGCTTCCTGGTTCTTGGTTTTTGAATTTATCTTTTAAATAATCATCCTTGGTGAAGGGCTGGAGACCTTATAACATCATTAGATGCCACCCAATGGTGAAAGTTGTCACCAAGAAGGGCATGGAGTGGAGTCCAGGGTGGGATTGCCCTTGAAAGCCATACACAGATTTTTCCATTTGGGTGCTAATGAGCTGCATGTCTATAACCAGGGGACGGCGTGCAAAGGGTTAGCAGCGAGGTTTCTCCCCTTTTGTGCATCTCGCTTCATTTGTAGCTACTTGTTGAGTTTCCAGGGCGGAAGAAAGAAGCAGCTGCGGGGCATGCGCCAGACCTGCGCTGGGCTGTCGCTTCCATTGTGGGGAAGATGAACAGGCAGCCTTATTTTGGATCACATAGCAGCTTGTTCAAAAGCATCTTGCATTCCCCAGCTGCTCCACAACTTCTTCGCGTATGGGAGAGAACTTGCCAGCTGCTGGGGCAACTGTGCTTACATTTGCTGCTTTTGTGCAGAAACCCAGGAAGGTAAAAATCCATAGACGCCTTTGTTAAACTGTAGCCATTGTAAAGAGTCTTGTTTGTTTCTGTTATGTCAATGTTATTCCAGATAGAGGGTCTCAGGGGGAGAAAAGGAAGTGTCAGAATTAACATTCCCTCCCTCCCCATACCTTTTTTTTTTTTTTTTTAGGATGACTAGCATGTATGTAGTTTTTCTCTCCTGAAAACCTAGGCTGCTTTTGTATTTCAGTGACTAACAAAGAAACAGGTTGCATGGTAAAATTAAGTGGGTTTTTTTTTTTTTTTAAGTTGCCATATTCCTCAGGGTTAATCATATATATTCTTCTGTTGCGTGAAATGTATAAAAGTTACAATGTATGTTCAGACTGTGCGCTTTTGTTTTCTGAAGATTTAGGATATTTTGCATTTGTTAGAGCCAGTCTGTGCCCACACCCCTTATCTTATCCTTGAGAAAACTGGAGTTTCCAAGAAGTTGTTACTTACCCAAGATGACTTAGCTCTGGTTTACTACAGTACATCTTAGGTTGAGTGTTTACATGCAGGCAGGCCTGGAGAACCTGAAGATGAAAAAGGGCTTGGGCCTAGCTGTGGATGGACTTGCAGGTCAGAAACAACAGACACAAACAAGTACACCATGAGGGCTGTAATAGAGGCAGCATGTGTGTGTGTGTGTGTGTGTGTGTGTGTGTGTGAAGGTGCCTCCTCAGAGAGCTTTTTGTTAATCCCGTTATTGTCACCATGTCTGCTCAAATAAAGCCGAAGAGGAGGGTGTGGGGCCAGGAAGATGGGAGAGGCTTGATAAGTTTGATCAATGTTGAGTTCATATCCTAATAAGAGAAGGCTTCGCACGTGCGTGTAGACACACCTGTCTTACCAGAGCCCCCCAGTTCCCTGACTCCTGCCCGGCATTCAAAAGCATGTACTTAGTCGCTCAGTTGTGTCTATTTGCGATCCTGGACTGTAGCCC